ATCCGCTATTTTCAAATATCTGGTGATGATATTATCGCAGCCGTATCATCAAAATTTAGATAGAAAGCTTTGATGAAATGTGCAATAAATCCAGATCGATAAATATCATCAATAATTCTTCCACCTCACATAATTTTGACACCGATGTTACCAACGCATACCACGGAACCATTTTCAATAGTTATTAGTGAAAAACGTGCAGCCGAAATTGCATCATGGATTGATAAGAAAATTGAAATGTATTCGACAACAAATAACCCGTATGAGTTCAAATTACTCCTTTGTGACACTAGAGATGGTCTTACTCTGAATTGTTTTGGAATTTATGTGATAAGCAAGAAAATACTATTGTTACCATGAAGGTTAAAGATACCGATGAAAAAATTATTGGTGATTATAATCCAATTCAATAAATAAATTAACCAGCGATAATATGAGTTGCAATGATAGCTTTATTTTTTTGTTGAAAAATGGTACTATTCAATCTTCTATTTTAAGCGTGTAGAAGATACAAAAATTACAATTTATTGTGGTCCGTATTATGGTCCATCTTTTAGCTGTGATCTTTATATGTACAAGGGTTTAACCAAAATAATCGATGTAATTGTCATCATATTATATGAAAAGTCAATTAGAAATATAGAAGATAAATTTTTATCAGAATACGAAGTGTTCCAAATTAAAAGAAAATTAAATAGTCAAATTATTGAATATACAGTATATGATAAAATCAATATAATTAATATACAGTATATGATAAAATTAATATAATTAATATACAGTATATGATTAAATTAATATAAATAATATTCAGAAAATTGAAATTTCTTTTTTAAATTCTAGCGTTTTGTAAAAGGATTGTTGTATTATTTTTAAAGTATAGCATGGAAGAAATTCGACGTTACAAAGTATTTGTACAGGATAGTAGTTTAACCCCAGAATTTTCTGGTGTAAGCAAACCTAAAAAAAAAAAAAAAAATTATGTAATACTTTACTAATAAAATAGCTTCTAGAGAATGTGTTTTCAATAAACTCAAGTTGCATCAGTTGCATCATGCTGCATCATGCTGCATCACAGTAGATCTAGTAAATGTTGAAGTACTATCTACCATAGTAAGAGGTAATAAAAGTATATTTTACTGCTCAATTCATAAAGTTCAACTTGTTTTTTTTTTTTTATAGTTATAATATTAACTTGTTAACTTTATTTTCAAATTTTGTAAACTCTTCTAAAGATATTTAATGCAATAGAAGTTATTTAATATATACAATAGTATAGTTTTATTAGTTATGTAAGGTTTAAAGAAAAACTATTAAAGGACATGTAACTTGTTACTAAACACTTTTAAATAAAGTTTTTACAACTGTAAAATTACTATTAGTGCGTGAATTAATAGTTGGATTCTTTTACAACATGAGTTATTTTATTTTGAAGGAACAGAATTTTCTGTAAGTAAAAATGGAGAGTATAGTTTTACCAAAATGATCAAGGATGTTCATCCACAAAACCTTGCATTTGGTTGGTTGCCACAGTTGGCTATGATTTCTAAATATGCAAACTCGGATAATTTCAGGTTTGCTTTTAATTGAAGAAGCCATTTAAAGTGTTACCATTGCGACTAAATAGTGGCAAATTTTAGTTGCTTAGCCGCTTGTGTACCAACATTTTTGCATTTAATGATTGGTGTTATGAAAAGTTTGACCAGCGTAAGTGTAGCCAATGTGTGATTATGTCACATTTTGTGCAATCATATGTTAATTAGAGATTGACGTTTCTATTTGCATTAACGTGTATTAACGGCAATTACGAAAAGTTTATTATACCATTCTAGTTCAATCAATATTTTTGTTTATAATAATAAAGCAATAAACATTCTTATTTAAATGGTTTATACACTGTTTTAAGCAATATTTGTTTGTAAAATCTTATATTTGATTGGTCTGCATGACTTATTTTGTTTATTTTTCACATATAATTTTCATCGCACTTTACATATGATCTTTGTTGTAATTTGTCTATGAAATGTATGTATACGTGAACAAAGTCTCTTCGACGAAATTTAATATAACTTGTACTATGTAATTTTTCATATGTATGGCAGCTAGAGATGATGATCGATTATGAAATGATCGGTCATATGGTTCGATCGTGACCGATTATGAAAATTCTCTTTTGTGTTCGATCGATCGATAAGAGATCGAGCATATCGATCATTATCGATTATTAAATTATTACAAAAAAATCGATCTAAACAAATCTGATCGATCATAAAATTTAAATAATAGTTTTTATTAATCGATTTAAATTTTTTTAAACTTAATTATTCAGTATAGAACAAAAATCTAAAATATCAAATATAATAAAGATCAACTATCTATCTTGTTCGAGATAAGCTAAATTTGTGATGGGTTATTTTATTCTTATGCCTGTTTTAATGCAAAAATATTGAGAATTCTAGATCTTTTGATTTATTTAGATCATAATCCAAGAAATTTATTTTTGTGTACTATTAGTTTATACATTATCTCAAATAGGGAAATTGAAGTTTCTAAACTTCCTGCACTGTACAAGTTACTCTTTATGTTTAAAATTATAATGGTAACTACAGTCAGGGAATATAGCAAATAAGGTCAAATTAGAAAATCCGGTTCTAGAATGATCTGCACAGATTTGATTGGCTTTTGTACGACTTCTTGCTAGCAGTTTTAGGAAATTTTTTACACGTTTTATTTATTGCTTAAAACTTCTAAATAAAAGCATTAATAGATAGTAGAAAACATGTAGTTTAAATAATCCACAATAATCCACTCTAGTTAACTCTCGTTAAAAAAGTAAATAAACTATTAAAAAAGTAAATAAGATTTGGAATATTCTAGTTTGCATAATAATAAATTTTTTTTCTATTCAGTTGACTTTGATTGGTTAGTGATCATTCTTGGATCGACATAAAGAAATTTCTGGAACTATTAGATCAGCATTCTATTACCATAAATGGGGGTCGTCTAAAGCCTGGCACCTAATGAAATTACCCACATCACAGGAAATCATGGAATGCACGTGGTTACGATTATTTCCGGAGAGTCGGCAATAATTTTTTTTTTTTTTAACGTTAATATTTTATACTACTGCTACCTGTAATATTACTGTATTATATACAGTATTATAGGGATAGCGTTCTTTTTTTTTTTTAATTAATGTTTAATAAATACAGGGGTTTTTTTTTTATTTATAAAAAAACTTAAGCATATGCTCGCTGGGATCGGTTGTTAGAAGAATAGATCTGAGAATGAACAGGTATGTGTATGCATTCATAAAAGCTGTTATTTTATTTATTTAAAATATGCTCTAAAGAACTTTTTAAATTTTTAATAAATTCTGATTTTTCTTTGGGCTTCCTTTATCCTCTACTCTCCAATATGCATTACGGGTTCTTTCCATTAGTTCATTTACACCGAGCGTCGATTCTCCAAGGCCTTATCAGCTTCCGTTTTTTAGGTATTTCAATTTCCACAACTTCACGATGTTCATATATTTCAAAACCATTCTCCACAAACATTTGCTAAAATTGCATCCACACACTCAATGTTAATAGTTCATCACCATATATATGTTCATGAAACATATGTCAGCAAGGAAGTAAGTACCAGCAAAAAAACAAGCAAAAACAATTAAGCGAAGTCAAGCCAGATATTTCTTTACCCTTTTCAATTCTTTTTTTAACAGCGCAGGCTTCAGTAATGATTAACTGCTGGATGGGATAGGGGACCTTGTGAATCTCACTAAGAATTTCATTATCAACTCCAACAACAGAAATCTGCTTAATTCGAAATTCGAAGGCCGTACTTTCTGAGATTGAGCGTCATTTGGCATCTAGAGCAATAATTTTATAACAAGCGCCTAATAAAAGTAAAATAATAAATTTTATTTTTGTAAATGGTGAAATTGATAATGTAATATTTTATAATGAAAATGTATTTTATTTAAAATATTTCTTATACAAAAAAAATTAATAAATAAATAAAATAAATATTTTATAAATAAAAAACTAGTTTTTTATTAAAAAATAAAAATTTAAAGCCTGATTTTTGTATTATACCTATAATACCATGATTAGATGATGTCATCTGTTTTAGATCACTATGATAGGACTCTAGAGGATTGGTTGAGGTTACTTGCAATAGAAGGAGTAAATTTTGCCATGCTCAGAGGGCCATTGATTCGAATTCTTTATGTAATTTTGTGTAATATAGTTTTTTATACCAGGGACTTGACACGCACAAATTGCTTGCTGAATAAGCTCCTCACAACCAATTTTTGTAGTTTTATGCATTGCCTGAATCATCAGGCTTCGAGCTTTGGTTTCGTATATTTTACTCATCCATACCCGCATTACGTGAACCGTACAAAAAATTACGGCACACTCTTGCTCACCACCACGAAGAACAGAAAATGCTTTCCTAATGCTATTAGCCTTAATGTGGCTTTGATCAGCAAGGATATATCGGGAATTTCAGTGACGTCCAAATCGTCTAATAATTTTCAAGGCATCTGCGATTGTGTCGCTATCTTCTTTACTGACAAAAAAGTGGGCACCAACGTCCCAGCACCCATATGTATTCCTTACGTACAAAGTAAATAGACGACAGTCATATTTGTTCGTCTTGTATTTCGAATCGATCAGGGTTAGCCAACTATTTTGTTCGAGCTTTACGAGTTGGAGTGGGTGCACAAAAACTATACCATATGTAGATTGACTCACATTGTTATAATATTCAATATTATACCTTTAAATAAATAAAATAAGAAAATAAATAAATTAAGAAAATAAATAAAATGAGAAAATAAATAAATTAAGAAAATAAATAAATAAAACATACTGGAAAAGGGACGAAATTGACAAAAAAAATTCTTCCACAAAAAATTAATTATCTTGCGAACTAGTTCGCAAGATAATTAATTTTTTGTGGAAGAATTTTTTTTGTCAATTTCGTCTCTTTTTTCAATACCAAGCCTATGTATATAATAAAATAAAAGATCCCAACCTTCATTTTTTAAAAAATAAATACATTCTGCAATGTCAGATTCTAAATTTATATTACCTCCAAAGTTTTCATTTTTTTGCGCTTCACATACTTTTTGCTTAATATTTGAAACCTCCTTTCATTTTAACTCTTTAACACTCGCACCCAAATCCAGCTTCCTGGTTGCATAGTCCTTAATCGCACTTACAATGGTGGGTGGTGGGTAATTCTTGACTGCTTCCTCTTCCACTAATTTTCAAACTGCATCCGAACGCTTTAACATTTCAGTTTCTTCAAGTGTGTGCATATAGTCAAGGCTATTATTATATCATTCAATTTGCACTTTATACGCCCCAACAAAACGCAACACTCGAATTTTTGCAAAGCACAGGTTGGAAGGACGGATTTTTGTCTTTCTACGCTTTTCAAGAGGGATATCTTCTTTTCGTCCACTTGAATGATTATGTTTTATAAGCCGGCATACAAAAACTTTCCATAAATTACCATTAGCATGATTTTTATAGCTAAATCTGGACCAAACATTTGAAACAAGTGGCCACCATGCTTGATCAAAATCATGCATTGAAACTTCAAATAGTTCACCAACATTGAAGAGAAGTTCACGTCTTTCATTAATAGTTAAGGATTGAGACATATAAAATTTAAGCGTGACCTCTCCGTTTTCCTCAAGCATAGTGTTTCCATTTTCTTCAAACGTGGCTTCTTTTTCCTCAAACTCTACACTTTTGTTTTCCTCAAACCCTACACTTTTGTTTTCCTCAAACCCTACACTTTCGTTTTCTTCAAACTCTACACTTTTGTTTTCCTCTATACTTTCACTTTCCTCATATACAACACCCTCCTTTTCAAGTATGACCTCCTCCTCTTCTACAAATACACCTTCTTCATTTTCCACAAAAAAATTACTCATTAATAAAAATATATACCGGTATACAATATATATTGGCCTCTTTACTGTGATTAAAAAAAAAATCGTATGCTTTGCAATATTCGAAAGTAAGAAAAATTCAAAAGGAGGTAATAAAAAAAAGAATCTTTATATACAGTATATATATATATATATATATAAAAAAAAGATCAGATCTTAAAAAAAAAAAAAATTCTTAAGTTTTAGTATAAAATCTTAGAGAAAAATTCTTAAAAATCTTAGAGTATATAGTGATAGGCTTAAATTTTTTATCCCCATTATATTCATAAAAAAAATCTTAGATATCATACAGCTCTAATAGCCAAATAGAATTTAAAATTTCAATTAATATGATTTTTTTAATTTAAATACTTTAAATACCCGAAAAAAATCGGAATTGATCATATTCTGTAATCTCCCATGATTCAGGTAATTTCGTGAGGTGCCAGGCTTTAGACAACCCCCAAATTAGGCAGAACAACAATTAGACTTTAAATCAACATTAAAACAACAAACAAACACATAGTGAAATTAAAACAAATAAACAAAACGCATAAAATGTTAAAACTTCCAGATTACAAAAATTTTTTTAATAAACCAGAAGAGGAAAGAGCATCAATACAAGAAAAACAAAATAATTTTATCTGGGAAAAGGATAAAGTAGTTGCAAGTTATTTAGGTACTAGTAAGATATACCTTATTGCAATTATTCGTAGTGTTCTTCATTATTACAAGTGGGCTCAATATAAAAAAGCAAAAGAACAAGAATTAGAGAAAAAAGAAAAAATTCTGCTCAAATCTTGGCTTGACAACAATGAACAAGTAGATAGTATGAGTGAAATACAGCATAGCAATAATAGCAACAAAGATCAACATGTTTGGGTAAAACCCATATTGTCCCTGTTTCTCACCTCAGAAGAAAAACAATACAATATGGAGACTATAGAAAAAGCTTTATTAGAAAGTTTAGACAACAGTATACAGATTGATAAACAAACTAACGCCCAAAAAAGAAATTATACAGAGCAGGAAATTTCAATTGATATAGCTGAAATTAAAGTAGAAACAAAAAAAAACTTATTGGTAAGCGAAGAACTCGGTACATTAGATTATGGAGTCATAGAATCTCTTGAGAAAGATAATATATTTGTCAATGAGCAAATAATAAATAAAAGCAACAAAAACATAAAGATATTCTTAACTCAGCATGGGCACCAAGTAGTAAAGACATTGAACCCAACGCTCTAAATAAAGATATATATAGCTCAACATGGTTACCGAAAAAAAGATCTTCTTTACAAAATGACCTGAAAAAATCACTATATCTATTTACTATATGGGACTTCCTAAAAGAAATGAGTGGATATGAAATTAAAAAATATTTAGAATATTTTGGAGAAGTTAACATTATTAGATAGCAACCGAATTTTACAACTAAAGCAGTATTTATTCAAATTTTAGCCAAAACAGAAAAATATAAAACATCATTTAGAGAACATTGATTAATTATCCTAGATTATGGAAAAACATATAGAATGACCCCTAGTGAATTTGATATTACAGAATTAGAAAGTAGAAATATCTTTAGATCCACAATATACAATATCCCTACAAGAGCAGTAGATAGTTTTCTCCTCCATTAGCTCAAAAAACACAAAGTACAAGCTGTTCATATCTTTAAAAATAGCAATAGCAACCAGGCTAGAAGAGCACATATATATTTCAAATCTGAGCAAGATAAATTAGAAGCCCAAAAGACAAATATGTATTACTTTAACACAAAACTAGTGTGGCACTCTTACCTTGAAGATTCTGTAAATAGAAGTTTTACATATACATACAGACATAGTGAAAAGAAAACAGTATATCCTAGCAAACATAAAGTAATAGCATATGAGACAGAGACCTGGAAAAAACAGAATCTAGTCAACAAAGCCAGTCACACAAGGCCTCTTAGTAAGACAAATAAGCTCTATAATAGTAATAAAGAAAACCGTAATGTTTTTGCCCAGGAATATAGTAGCTCCAGATCTCGTAGCACTACAAGAAAACTTTTAAAAGCTTTAGAAAATAATAGAGATTCCAATCAAAGAGTCAACCAGGTGTTAAAAAACATGTATGCAACAGGTTCTAATAAAGAGGAGCTAGATACAAGAAAAGGGAAGCAAAAAGAGCTTACTACAGAAACTAATTTTGAACAATTGCTTGCAGATATGCAGGAAAAATTCAGAACAATCAAGCTGTTGCTAGCTCATCACTCCTAAAAGTTGCCTCAGGCGAATCAAAGAATAAAGGTAAGGCAAATAGCCTTATTGATGCCTTATACAATATAAATAAATTAGAACAAAGTGAAGATTTTTTAGACAAAAACAATTACGAATCATTGCAAATAAGTTTTTATAATATTAATGGACTCAAGCTAGATAGACAAAAATTAATTGCATTTGCAGATATAGGTAGGGAAAAGAGTTTGGATATAATAGAAATAGCAGAAACAAATATAAGCAAAAAAGAAGAAAAATGAATAGAAACCAAACAGCATGGCTACGTTAACTTTTGGTCATTAAAAAAAGCAGACAAAATCAAAGGTTCAGAAGTAGGTGCACTCATAAGCGAGCACTGGGCAAAACATATAGGTAGAGTAATTAGATATAGCCTATATTTAATCAAAATAAAATTTTCTTTAAGAAAGTAGTTATACAAATTTGGGTAGCTTACTTACCATTAGCAAACAAAAAAATTAACAAAGAAACTCAACAGACAATAATACGAGAAATTTGTAGTAACAAAATCAACACATATGTTTGTGTAATGGGGATTTCAATGTATTAAGTAACACAAACCTGGACACAAATAACAAAAATCATAAAAATCAGGGGCTTGAAAAAACTCTATTAGAGTGGCTTAAAAACAGGGAATTGATAAACACTTTTCGTTATCTATACCCACACAAAAAAGAATATACCTAGCATCAAGATAATTTGGCATCTTGAATAGATTATATATAGATAGGTGAAGAAATGAGCAACCTACTATCTAAAGCTTCAATTGAGGATATAAACCTAATTACTGAAAGCAATCACAAGCTCATATGGTCCAAAATTGAAACCAGTAGCATATTAAATTATGGCAAACTTAGAAACAGAAAAAGAAAAAGAAAGCCTACAAGAAGAGTTTTTCTCTACTACAAAGCCATGAAAGAAAACTGAGATTTGTATAGCAAGTGCATCGAAAATTTAATAAGAAAAAAAGAGTACAAGGGATTACATGAGTCTATTTTCTGCTACAATAAAGACATTAATATAGAATAAGATATTTTAAATAATACAATCATGAAAGAAGCAATAAAACACATACCTTCAGTTAATATTCAAAAGACCAAGATCCAGGAAAAACTATCAGTCCCTAAATCTAATACCTTCAAAGAAGTTAAATTTCTGTATCAGTTACAAAAAGAAAGTTACACACATTATGGTGAAAAAATAGATAGTGCTGTTAAAGAAAAGTTTGACACACAAATTGAAAGAATAAACCTAACACATCAAACACAAATCCCGCAAATGCCCGAACTTTGGAGCCAGGTCGAAATAAATGAACTCGGAAATTGGGAAAAAATTTTGAGGAAAAAAGCGGAAGAAGAAGAATGCAAAAGAAAAGAAAAAGAAATAAGAAGTAAAATAGAACAAAGATTTAGTATGATAAAAAAAGATAAAAGAGAATGCTACAAAGTCTACTGAACAGAGTATACAACAAGATAACACCAGATAGAGTTCTTGTTGGAGAAGAATCTGATTACCAGAATTTAGAACTCATTAATGGAGAGACTAAGCTGAAGCAGCAAGTTACCTCACACTTTCAAAAACAGTTCCGAAAAAGAAATCAAAAGTTTGAAAAGATGAACTAGGAGTGGAAAAACGAGTACATGCCAAAGAAAGACATAAGTCCATCTATATACGAAAAAGTAATGAGTCCAATTAGTAAAGAAGAATAGATACAAGCTCTAGGCAAAACACAAAATGGCACAGCTTCAGGCATATCAGGTATTGGGTATATATTACTCAAAAAGCTCTTTATAAAGATAACCGAAAAAATGATAAATTTTGCAAATTTTATTCTAGAAGTTGGAAAAATACCAGAAAAATGAAAATTAGGTCAGGTATACTTAATTCCAAAAGGAAGCTTTTGGGAATACAATCTGAGTAATACAAGGCCAATAGTCCTATTAGAAACATGTAGAAAAGTGATAACGCGAGTAATACAAATGAGACTCAACAAGGTGTTAAGTTGAAATAAGGTTTTAAAAGATGCAAACTTTGCAGGACTCTCTGGAGAAAGTACATTGGCACCTATTCACATTATGAACAATATAATAGAGGAGGCAGTGGAGAAAAGAAAAAAGCTTTGGATCACTTTTCAAGATATGAAAAAAGCCTTTGACTCAGTTAGTATAGTAGCACTTAAAAAAGCGTTAAAAATGATCAAATTTCCACCAAAGCTAGCAAATTTTATTACGAATCTTTACGACAAAAGAAAGCTTAGCTTTATAACAGATTTCAGTAATACTGAAGCCACTGAAGCAGGAGATGGAATTAACCAAGGAGAGGTGCTATCCCCTTTCATCAGCAAAAAAAAATATATGTAAACCTCCATAAGTTTTTACGTGAGCGTAAACTTATGAAAAACTTATAATTAGTTTGGAGTATTACGTAGGGGTAATAATTACGAAAGTTTATGCTATAGAATTTCAGAGTATTACGTAGGAGTAATAATTATGAACATTTATAGCTTAGTAAATTTAAATGTAGCAAAATGCAAATAGTCGAAAACTAGCGAATACATGTATAAAATTATAAATATTTACAAATGACAAAAATCAAAAACATACGAAAACATATGAAAATTTGCGAAAATTTGAGTAAATCAACAAGATATTATGTACAACAAAACATCAAAAAGAAGCAAAAATATAAATTATAAATCGAAAAAAATAAATAATATAAATTTTTAAAATAAATGTAATAATTTTAATGTTTTCGTAAATATACGAAAAAAATTGTATACAAATATATTCTAAGTATTGGTCGTCTCATTAATGATGATACAAAAATAAAGTATATTTTATTTAAAACAAAATAATACTTATTTTTTTAAATATAACCCAATGTTTTATTAACTAATAATAATTTTTGTATCTTTATCTCTTATATCCAAAAAACTAATTTAGCAAATATAAATTTTTAGTAGTAAGAATTAGCTAGTAAAAATAATTTTTTTAGCAGTTAAAAACTTATATTATGCATATTACTTCTAATTCCTACTAAGTAAAAACACTCAAAAAATTCTATCATGCTATGCTACTATGCAAGTACTTAGTCTAGCATTAGAGAAAAAAAAATAATTAATAAAATCTCTTATTTATTATTACATATAGCCATATCTTATATTGAGCAAATACGATAATCAAATTCCTTATTTAGTTGGCTAATATTGTAATTGCGACTATTTCAAAAATATTGATAACATTTCAATATAGATTAATGCTTTTTTTTTGCCAAAATTTAATACTTTTAATAGCTTCAAATTTGGTTAAGTAAAAAAAAAAAATTATATATAATAAATTTACCTGAAATTTTCCTATAAACTTTTAAGTTAAACTATTAAAAAGTTAAAAATTAAGAAAAGTATAATAAAAAGTAATCTAAAAGTGGGTTCGGTACTATATAAACTTCTTAATTTCTAATTAAATTTGGTTTATAGTATTTATACTTTTAAAAAATCTTAAGATTATTAATACTGGGCCTAGTTGATTAATCATAATATCTTCTCAAATTTGATCGATACTTATCACATGATCTGCAGATTTTATAAATCATTAATCAAAATTTGAGAAGTTATTATAACTAACCCACTTGGACATTTTCAATAATCTTATCGTTTTTAGAATCACGGGAGTCAGAAAAAAAAATTTACTTAGGCCGCAGTAATAGTATATATTTTTAAAATCTTCTTTAATTTATTTTTATAAAATTACTTTTAATTTCACACGATTTTCTATTTTAGGCTTTACATTTTGGCGCAAAAAAACATATACGAAGTATGCAAATATAGTCAATAATGTCTTGACAGTAAACAAGAGGTAAACAACTTTTTTATACTTATAAAAAATCTTAAGATTATTAATACTGGGCCTAGTAGATTAATTGTAATATCTTCTCAACTTTGATCGATACTTATCACATGATTTGCAGATTTTATAAATCGTTAATCAAACTTTGAGAAGTTATTATAACTAACCCATTTGGACATTATTAATAATCTTTCGTTTTTAGAACCACAGGAGTCAGAAAAAAAAATTTAATTAGGCCGCAGTAATAGTATATATTTTTAAAATCTTTTTTAATTTACCTTCATAAAATTACTTTAATTTCACACGATTTTCTATTTAGGCTTTACATTTTGGCGCAAAAAATGTATACGATGTATGCATATATAGTCAATAATGTCTTGACGGTAAACAAGAGGTAAACAACTTTTTTATCTTATTTACTGAATTTAGGAAGTAATTAAAGTTTAGCCTTAAATTATATTGCTAAAATCTATAGCCAATTTTTAGATTGCTATAGCAAGTTATAACTTTAATTATTGCAATTATTAAAGTACATCTAACACTAAATTTATTATGGACCAATGCGAACGTAGTCCTATCGCTCTAACTACTAATGAGAAGAAAATGGTTTTATCCGTTTATAATTATATTCATTCTCTTGAGATTATTAATCTGTGCAAAGAAGTTTCTCTGGCAACAGGAGTTGGCGAAGCAACTGTTGCCCATGTACTTGCAGAATTCAATAAAACTGGGGCAGTTATAGCATCAGAACAAGGTCATCGGTCTTCTAGAACTCTTAAAACCAGGGTTGGCATGAATGGAATTCGGACAATGGAAATCTGTCCGAAAGTTAGTGTCCGAACTGTCCAATCAAAAGCAATAAACATTGGACTGGGCATATGATCGAAGACACGTAATTTAATTGGACCATGCGGAAGATCAGAAATTAGCTGTAATGCTAACGTACTGTAATACGATTTCCCGTTAACAATTAATACAAATAAATGTGGATCTAATGTCCTGTAGACTCTCATGAAGTTTTCTTTCTTTTTTTTCAACACTATATATTTGCGAACTAACTAAACTATATTTAAATTTCATTCTTTAATTTTATCTATAAATTTCTTAATTAATAGATCTTTTTTTTTTTAATGGTATTACAATTATTATCGTATTGATGATCCATCTTTTATTTGGTATATATCGATCCACTCCTTTTTGAGCTGATCGTGATCGCTAAATGCATACTTTCAGGTTAAGATAGTCGATTGTGATATGTTTGATCATATTTTTACAATACCGTTTATTTTATCTGATACTTACCTAACTATTTAGATGGTGAAGCTAGATGGATTTCTTGACGAAGATATGCGTATACAAGTTAAAGGGAGGTTTGTTATAAAATATAGTGTTCTTTTAATAGACTTATTATCGGACATTTTTAAAAGCAATTTTTCTTATTTTTTCTTATAACCAAGCTGTATATTTACAAGTAACGATTTTAAATTTAAATGAATACATATGTATATATACATATATATGTTTGTTAAGCAAAATCATTATTGCTAACTTTCATTCAAAGGGAAAAGGTAAATCGGATAAAAATAAATCATGTAATTTCCACTTTGCGGCTTGATTTTCAGCAGGATGGATTTCTAAATCAAGAAAATCCATATCAGCATTATCAAGATCATCTGGGTCTTCTTCAAACTCTTCATCAATCAATAATTCTTCCCATTCGTTGATAGCACTATTCCAACTAATTTCCGAAGTAATTTCTTCATTTTCTTCATTTATATCATCTATATCAGTCTCTTCGAATACTTGGTCTTGGTCAGATAATGAAGAACTAGAAGCAGCAGAGAGAAGTGAAGCAGAAGGAGAGTAATCCGGTTGAATATGATTAGGTTTGGTCCTTTTTTTATGAGCTCGTAAGATTTCTGCACGGAGTTGACTCATTGCAACAACTTTTTTATCCTATAATAAAAAAAATTTTAACATATTAAAATTTCATTATTTTAAGTAAAATTTACCTTGAGTTTATTTCTTAAAGGAGAATGTAAGAAGCCCATTGTAGAAAAAAGTCTTTCTACTGAAGCAGTTGTAATGCATATACCAAATAATTGGCATGCGACACGACTCAATTCTGGTGCGGCACCAGAATTATGTGACCACCAAAGAATAATATCACCTTTAAATTGGTTGAAGGTTTTTTTAGAAAAAGGATACTTTTGTTGTTTGTAAAGTTCCAATTCACAAAGCAAACAGTCTGGTTCGTTACCGAACCAAGCTTTATAATAATATGATAGCCATGCTCCCATGTAAGTAAAATTAATATATAGTTGCGTTTGATTAAAATAATCTAACCTATATAGAGGATAAAGAACAAAAGAAAGAATAAGCAATGGTTGTTCCCAGGTGGCCCATCTTTTTTCAAGCCTTTCAATCATTCTTGTTCGAAATTGATTTTCTTCAAGTTCTTTAAATATTTGCATAAAAAAACCAAAGGTATGTAAAACATTATGAAGACGGGCTTTATCACGTTGCATAAGATCAAGAGCTCCACAAAAAGGATGAAGTATCTTATGCAATGTTGTAAGAGAATCCCAAAAAGAATCACGGTTAATAGTAACTTTGATATCAGCTAGAAGTTTTAAATCATTATCCGAAGCAGCATCATCTTTGGTAACAAGAGTCTAAAAAAAAAAAAACTTAGTAATAATTTTCCGATCAACCTTTAAGTTTCTAATTAAATAACTTACTTTTAATGGAAGCTTATTTTTAAGAATACTATCAAAGCATTCAAAATAGCTATTCTATCTTGTTACACTTGGAGTTACAAAGTTAACATATTTTTTTAAAACACTTTTTTGTTCATCACGAAGTTTAGCGGTAAAATATACAGAATGATGAAAAAAAGAAACAATACGAAGTGCACGTTTGCTCATATTTTTGAATACTGCAGATTCTTTAAATATATCTCCTACACAACAATTTGCTTGATGCGCGAAGCATGGAATGAACACTTTATCATGGATTTCACGTCTCAAAGAACGACGAGCTGCTGCATATGATCCAGCAGAATCAGTGACAAGACAGTTAACTCTTACATCTAGCTCTTTTGCTTGGTTAAAAAGTGTATGGATTCTGGTAATTACTTCTTCTTGCCTTTGTCTTTCAATACTAATGTCTTCCGCTCCCCAAATTAATGTTTCTCCCGAAGATGTAATAAATACTATACCCATTAGCTCTTGATTTATAACATTGCGCCAGCCATCGAAAGCAATTGTAACACCGATCTTATCTCTACAGGCAAGCTCTTTAATAGTTGTTTGGACTTCATTAGTTGCACTTGTTAGTATATGATTACTAAGTGATTTTCGGTCAGGTAGTTTTAAATGTGGAGAAATAAAGTGGAATAATTCTCTAACTTCAGGATTTTCAATCCATCGAAATGCAACTCCAACTGAAACAGTTGCTCGAAGTATGAGACGTTCGAATTTGGGAATTTCAGAAGCATGAAGTGGGCGACCAATATATTGCGATAATGTAGATTGTTTTTTTAAAACCGAAATATAATTAGAAGCTAATGAATTAGAAGAAGTTGATACTGAAGTTGAATGATTTTTATTTATGACTTCTTCTTCTTCTTCATCTTCTTCATCTGTATAAGACATCATTACTCGCTTGTTTGGTGTTGAAGGTGTGACTGAACCAAGAATAAGCTGTATTTGTTCAGGTGAATACTTCGTGGCAAAGTATGAACAATCTCTGAGATGATTAGCACAATAACGTTTTGTATTTGTTATTTTCATACTATCATCTTGTAGGGCAAAATCTCTTCCTACAGCATCCATACATGCTCGACAAATACATTTTCGATTACTTTTATTTGCCCATTCATTAGGAATAATATAAAAGTATTCGGTAAGAGAATGCGGTGGCTTTCCTCCTTTGCGTTGCATAATTTGCTTGATAATTAAGAGATTGAATAACAATTAATTAACCAAGAGTTTGGTGAAATTATTAGGATTTATATATTGTAGAATAATGGATAATGTTAAAGATAAGATTTAATTTTAATTGAGTACACGATTTAAAAAATAACACGATAACTAACACAAAGCTTTATGACTAAAATTTTTTTAGAGGCTTAAAGAAAGATCAGATTTTTCTTTATTAAGATAACTCTTATAATTTACAATAACTGCAGAAAAGATCTTATCTTATTCATCTAATTAATTTCATTTTACCGGGGGCTTAGAGCTATGTATAAGAAGTATTTCATATTATCTTTCCTTTTTTTAATTTCCTTTGATTTCTAATACAAATTTTTCATATCATCTTGTGAATTCGAAGCTTTTTTTTTTGATTCATCTTAGATTTTACGCATATAGACTAAGCCCACTCCATCTTTGGTATTAATACTTTTGCTTTCCTTCATTTCATTCTCGATTGTGGGGCTTCAATTGATTTCCTTATTTCGGCTAGTGGCTCTATGCTATTAGTAATATCATATGAATTTGGTTACTAAACGTCAGAATATATCAGTTAATTGCCTAATGCATTAACTAAGATACCTTCTTCTTCAATATCTTCTATGCAAGTACACTGGGTTCTTTAGTCAGTGCACTATCGCTACCATACATTTTTACTTATCTGAGAAAGAGAATCGTGTGTTAATAATTTGGTTAGTATAGATAAAATTTATTTATGCACACTAATGAAATAAATCCTTTTTAGGAAATTCATTTATACTCTAATTAATCCAAAGTCTCTTGGTACATCTAATTGTAATTACCATCAATTCCCTAATTTCGTCAGATCAACATTTTTTTTTAATATGAATCAGAATTAGAGTGGATTGGAATATACGATGTGCATATACTGTATGTTATAATTTTTGCATACCATACTACACAAAATCCGGCAAACTCATATGATTATGAAATTATTTCTTGCTATTTTTTCATGTGTTATGATGTAAACATGTTTATTCAAATTAAAACTCAGCCGACAACTCCCTACGAATCATGATCATAAATTGCCGGATAACACCAATACTGGGAAAATTGTCAAATACTATAATTTGGCAAATGATTAACTACATGTGCCGCTCCGCGGAATGTGTTCATTTGCCAAATTACCATTATTCGACAATTTTTGCCAGTATTGTATACATATTCTGCGGTATGCAAATGACTGTTTTACGAAGTTTTTTTTTAAAAAAATAAGTGATGCTATATGAAACTGATTCCGACTGATTATAACAGTAAAATAAAGAGATACATTCGAATTAAAATTCTTCCGAATTATATCTACCTTGAAGTGGATATTCGGAAAAAAAAAAAAGGTTTCAAAAGTTGATACCATATTGAGATGCGTATGTGCATATGATATTTAAAAATATATGATCTATGTGCACTCCATTCAGAAATTCTACTATCAAAAATATCATTGGACAATGGATACTTGTCCGAATTGTCCTATGCAAGATCACTGGACATTGTATAATGCCAACTAAAACTGCGCCTCATCGGACACTGGACATCGCATAGGACAATTTGGAAATGTCCAATGTCCAGTAAAAAATCACCGGATATGTCCATTGCCCAACCCTGCTTAAAACAGATTATATAAAAGCTATCCAAGACCTTATTTTAACTGCAACTAAAAATAGAATTCCACTTTCTCTTCGAATGCTTGTTTTAGACTTAACTGAGTTGGGTTTTCCAGTATCAAAAGCACAACTTGCTCGTTATTTAAAGAAACTTGGATACCGTTATAGTAAGGAAGAACAGCAAAACATCCTACATGAGTTTCCTGAAAATGTCGCATACCGTGCACGATATCTTCGTTGGCGGTTTGAAAACATTTAAGACAAAAATGAAATGCCAATTTTTCCTGAATGTTTTTTTTGACAAATCTTACTGTTATATACACCATAACGAAATCTTACCTGGCTTCCAAAAGATGGTATTGTTTATGAAAAGGGAAGGGGCCCTATGCTCGTCATTTTTGGAGCAATTGTTATTTTTCAGGATCGTAATAACAATCAAATAAAAGGTGAGTTAGTTTGTTAATCACTTCTTATCTGGGATCCTACCGCGAAGCCATCAACTGGAAAAGGAAGAAAAAAAAAAAATTCAAAAAAATGGGAGACGGTTCTCGATGATATTAAAAACGCTAATATCATTCCTGATGAAGTTGACTATCATGGTAATTTCAACGCAGAGGTCTTTGAAAAAATTTTTGAAAATCTTTGTAAAATCCTCAAATCTGACTATGGACCTTGCATATTTCATATAGATGGTGCAAGATACCATAAACGCCGTGCTGAACCTATGCCGAATTCGAACTGGAATAAAAATGCAATAGTAGAATGGTTAAGTGCTCGTGATATTGGGGTTAACTCTAAAATAACAAAGATGGAGCTTTATGAAATAATAATAAAAAAAAAAAAGAAAATACCCTTTGCTACCATTACTATAGCCAATAAGTTTGGTCATAAATTGTTTTATACTCCCCTATACCATTGTGAACTACAACCGATTGAAATGGTATAGGGGGCTGTAAAAAATAAAGTTGCTAGAGAGCGGTTGCCACCTGATGTTCTTTCTCTTCGTAATTCGTTGCTCTGTAAATTTCAAGAGGAAATAACATCCAAGGTTGTTGTTTCCTGCTGGAAAAAGTGTTTAAATAAAGCAAAAGAATACTGGGAGACGATTGAGGTTAGTATAGGTAATGAAAGTGACGAAGATAGCAATACTGATACTGATGAATTTGATCAATCGTAAAACTTTATCGAAGCAAGTAAATGTAAGCTGAATTCTCTATATATAAAAGGTTTTTTTTTTTATTATGCACGTTGCTTTTATCTATGAAATTTTATATTCATAGTAATATATTATACATAAAATAAAATTTTTATAAAGTTTGATGCCCTTTTAACTAATCTGTTTTGCGATTTTTATGCTTATAAAAAATTTTTTCGATTTTAAAGAAAATTTAAAAAAAACTTTTAACTTACAAAAACGAACAAAATTTTATTGCTAGTAAAAAATTTTGACTAGCTAAAATTGTTCCTCATATTTGAAAATATGTAGTATTAAATTTTCACAATAATATATCAAAAATTTTTTTATAAACTTTCAAAATTATTAAAGTGATCAAAACGAACTTAATAAAAATTTTTTGCATATTTTTTTATTTTTTGATTCGTTTATTAATTTAACAGTTTTATGAAAAAAATTTTCATATATCGCTATGAAAATTTAAAATTATATATTTTCAAATATATAGAATATTTTTTAAAATAATTTATGCGATGTTTACAATGCCAATTCGTATATTTTAATGACCAAACTTTCTTTTCAAAAAATCGACGAATTTTTTTAACTAAAACTTAAACTATAAGTAAAAAGTTCAAAAGTCATTTAAATTTTATAAAAATTTTATGGTGAATATAAAATGGTATGGCTAATACTCCTACTTAATAAATAAATTACGTTTTGCATATTAAGTTAAAAACTTTTATATATAGCGAATTTATTCTCCGAATATTGATGATCATCTATTACGAAATCACAGATTTGTAACACAAAGCACATGACTAGCGAATAATATATATATGCACATAACTTTACAATTATAATATATACTTTCCCAGAACCTTGGCTGTTTTTCTTTATTAATTAATTAGGGATTGTATATTTATTTTATTAACTTGTAATAGTAATATATGGTTGTATCACCGTTAATGAGACGGCCTATAATTATATATTATCTAATTTTTTAAAGCAAATTAAAAATTCATATAACCAAAGTCGAAGAAAATTGAAGGGAAAAGAAATATATGAAAAAAGTCGAAGATTAATACAAAAAGCCAAAAGAAACTACTTGTTAATTGACAACTAAAAAAA